ACCATGCCCGGCTGATTTTTTCTATATATATTAGTTGGACAATTAATTTCTTTCTATTTATAGTAGAGACGGGGTCTCGCTCTTGCTCAGGCTGGTTTCGAACTCCTGACGTCGAGCAATCCGCCCACCTCGGCCTCCCAGAGTGCTAGGATTACAGGCCTGAGCCACTGTGCCCGGCAAGTCACTGTAATTCTTAATCCCCAAAGGAAGGACTTGAGACCTGAAAATGAGGCTGGAATGTGGGTTACTTTCCAGAAAGAAATGAGATGATGTGTCCCCCTAGGCCTCTGAAAATCAGAACATACTGCCTGGCGGGGTACTGTGATCTGGATCGAGCCTGGGTGTCTGGGGTGGACCTACACAGGGCACCTGGAGGTGGGCGTCCGGTGAGTGCTTGTCCCCTGTCCTGGCTCCAGACCCTTGACAGCCCACCTCTGCCTTTTCTTCTCTTCCCTGAATTTAGATCCTGAACTTGGTGCCCAAAGGCCGGAAGGGCTTCGGTCTGCTCTTCCTTCCCCACAACTTAACACCCTCCTCTGTAGAATCTTCTACAAGGCAGAGCAGTCAGAAGCTTCTCTGATGCCTGGGAGCCTCTTCAGGGAAGCTCTTTTTGATAACAGCGCTCATCCTTTGATCTCTGCAGGGAGCAAGTTACCAACTTCATTTTTAAAAATTCTGACATTTTGTTGACTTTGCAGTATGAAAGTGTGAGATCCTAGGATGAAAAGCTCTACCTAAATATCAAATAATAATACAGTTATACCCTAGGAGAAGAGAAACTTGCTGTCTCCAGCTAAAGAAACACCTTGTGTCTATGTTGCGTTTCTTCTCCCTTTCTGTTCCTCTGTGACCAGTGTGAAGGGTTTATAACTGCTGTGTTCTAATAAACTGCCGCAGTGCAGTCACCTGCTAGGGAGACAACGGGGCCCATGGTCCCAGCGCTGACACTGGTGAGCCTGTTCCCTTCTGTGTGCAGAAAGGAGTGTTTAAGAGGATGGACTCGATTCTGTGTCGTGACGTCTGATTATGAGTGTCTTCTATCATGAAGGAAGGGAGGGAGGAAGGAAAACAGAAGGAAGGAAAGGAAAAAAGGAAGGAAGGGGAAAGATAAGAAGAAAATGACAAATTATCTTAAAATATTTTTGTATTTTACTGAGCAGAGAGTATCAATAGTAGTTGGACACCATGGGTTCGAATTCTGCTGTTTTGTTTACTGGCTTTGTGGCCTGGGTGAGATGCTGGACATATCACCTCGTGGGTCCTTGCGAGGAGTAGGTAAAACAATCTTTATAAAGCACCTGGCAAACAGCAAGCATTCAATAAAGGTTATGATACAGTCCAGTGGCAAAAATAGAATTTTCATTTTTTATGTTGGTCTCTAGATCCTTCTCTGAGATAGGAGATGCATTGTAAATACTGGCTGGATAAACAGATGAGAGAATACCTAATGTGGACGTGAGGAAAGCTAGCACATGGCAGCATAGCCCTGATCACTTATTGCCAGTGCTTAGGGACCTTTGTCACTCTCATTAGTGCTTCTCAGTTTTGCGGTAATGCTTAACTCTCCGAGAAAGTAATTTGGTATAAACATAACTGTTAAGATAACCCTTAAGCCAATGTCCTTAAAAAAAAAAAAGCATTGAATGAAAAAGGGATACAATTGACTATTTGGCTGTGATACGTTATTCTCTTATTTTAGTTTCAGTATTTCTCACAATTAAAACTGACAAAGGATTTAACTGTGTGTCGAGTGAAAGGTATTCTATAGGACTCTATCTTATACCGGTGGGGGTCAGTTGTGCTTATTAATGAGAGTTGTAAGGTATGAGGTTCCTATTCACATCCATATAGAAGCTTTACAAACCAGAGGTCGTGTCTCCACTGAGGTTAAAGAGCAGTAACAATAATGACAGTCACAGCACTTAACTTTTATCAAGGGCTTACTTCATGCCTGGTCCTGAATTGAGTGCTTTACTTGCATTATTTTACTTAATCCCGAGCCATATCTGTGAGCTGGATGCCATCATCATCCTCATTTATACAAGAAGAAATAGATATAGAGAGGTTGAGAAAATCACCCAATCTAATCCAGATAATTAAGTCATAGCATTGAGTCGTGAGGGGATAAATTATGAAGCAGACATCTGCACCATTTTGTCTCCTCCAAGAGAGCTCTTCCCCTTCCCCCCAAACTCCATGATTAATATTTTTGTTCACTTGTTTAAAACACGTAAGGAGTATACTAGGCTAATGTACAAGCAAAATTTCATTTCTTACAAGTCATTGCTCAGATTTCTAGTGTAGAGCGTGAGTTAACACAGTATTTCATTCATCAGGCAAATACTGGGCACCTACCAAGTTCCAGGCTCTGTTCTGGGAACTATAGCAGTGAACACATCAGGCAAGTCCCTATTCTTGGGGAGTTTATATTCCGGTTGAAAGAGACAGAGAGAGAGTAAACAAGTAAACAGAACACCGAACATGCTATTTTAGATGGAGAATTTAGAGAGGGCACCTGTGAGGAAGTGACATTTGAGCTGAGCCTGAATGAAGGGGGTGAGGAAAGGGAAAGTGCCCGTTCAGAAGGCCCCTGGTGACAAGAGGTTGGTGGGCTCTGAAGCAGAGAGGAGGCAGAGCCTGGGTAATGGAGGGGCCTGTAGACCATGGTGAGGGGTTGGCTGTTTTGTTCTTAGAGAAATAGATTTTAAGCAGAAGGTGGACATGATCTGATGGATAAGGCTAGAAGGTCTCACTTGTTGCTATATGGGTATGGGAGAACATCACCAATAAATAAAAACATACAGGTGCTTGTGGGTGGCCCAGAGAAGTTGGTGAGAAGTGGTCAGATTTTAGTTCTGTTTTGAAGGCTGAACCAACAGGACTTGTCGCTGGGTTGGAACAGGGAAAAGAGATGGATCAAGCGTGACTCTTGGACTTTGGCCTGAAAAAAGGGACAAGTTTTGGGGAAGGGACATGTATAAGCCAATAAGGAAGACAAAGGAGGCAGGAATTTGGAGGATGGAATTGGAACAAATAGAGTTCTGTTTTGGACAGGGAAGTGTGAGATGTTTAGACATCCAAGCTGGGGTGCTGAGGAGTCAGTGGGTACCTGAGCCTGGAGTTTGAGGTAGTGATCAGGCATCTATTTAATTCAGTCCTTTTTAGGAGTTTTTAGAAACGTTGGTTCTTATGGAAACTTTCAGTATTTTAGAAACGTTTTGTTGTTCAGGCTCTCTTTGATCCTTGACATTGGTACCTGGAGAACACATTCTCGCTTTGAGCAGATGGGAGCTCTCTGCAGCCACACCGGCTGCACTGTGCTGGGATGTTTTTAAATAGTTCTGCAGACACAGGCAACTGTTTTCCCGAATTCTTTTACACACATATCCTCTTTATTAAGTCCGATAGAGATCTTATTTTTTTCTTTTTGCATGTTCCCAGTAGAGTTCAGCACTGTAATTAAGGTGCAACAAATTGTTCATCATGTTCACATTTTAAAAAGGAAATAGCTCAATCATGAGCATGCCAGGTGTTTGTGTTTGAGGGTCTTGTATATTACACTTGGACCCTGCTGTCCCTTCGCCACATACAAACGGCCAGTTAGAGTGTAGTTATTGTGGACATCGAGTGGGCTATAAATCAGAAGACTATAAGAAAAAAAGAGAAAAAGAGAGAGAGAGATAGGTGATGACTCAGTATGGAAAAACCTGTAAGTCAAAACCCACTTATTTATGATGTTTGGATACATTTCCCCAGTTGAACTGTCCCTGGCTTAAGCTCTGCTTCCCCCTTTTATTCCAATTTCTTAAGTCACTTTTGCTCTCTGCTGTCAAAAAGCACCTTTCATCCACTCAAACTAAGACATTGATGTCATTTCTTGAGCCACTGTTCTCTGTAAGTATTCTTATGTTTCCAGTATTTTCTGCATTTTGTTCCATTAGCAAGTCTGGTCACCTTTACTTTTCGGGTGAAGACGATTTCCATAGACTCAGCAGAGTTACCCCTCTTGGACAGAAGCCTCTGGATTATCCTGACTGCATCACTGGCTCCCCTAGGTGATGAAATATCCCCAGATGGTCATGCATGCAGTGTCTGGGCAGCTCAGAGGCCCAGGATGGCAGGACTCTAGGTAGGCCATCCAGATGGGCAGATGCCTGGACATGCTCTGGGCAAACCAGTCTTCTCTCCTCCCTGAGGTTTAACAGCTGTGTGACTGTGAGCAAGTTGCTCTGTGCCCTCTGTGCCCTCCTCTGCAAAATGGGGATGGTTCTAACCCACCTCTGCTATGTGCATTAGGTGAATGAATACCTGTGCTTTACTTGGCAGAGTACCTGGTAAATAAAAGGAACTCAGTAAACTTCAATTCCCTTTCAAACTCCTCTGAATCTTTTCAGCAGGAAGCAATAACCATGCACTCTGAAAACACACGTGCTAGGAAATGGCTTTTAGTGAAACAAGTCACACTTCAGAAGCAAGCTAGACTGAAAAAGAGAAGGGGAATGGACAGTTTTAAGACAAACTAGAGAAACAGAGTGTAGGGGTTCTCAAAGTGTGGTTCCAGGACCAGCCACTGCATCACCTGGAAACTGTTTAGAAATGCAAATTCTCGGAGCCACTGAATCCAAGCTCTAAGAGTGGACCTGGTTAGTCTGGGTTAGTCTGATGTACACTGAAGTTTGAGAACCAGTGGTCTAAGGGGGTAAACTCAACAGATCCTGGGCAAGGAATAATGGTGTGTGTTTCTGCGTGTGTATGTGTATGTACAGACATACCCATGTGTGTAGAATGTTTGTACTTGCTGAAACTATTAACCATACTTGGTAATACCAGCCGACTCCAGCCAAACTGGTGATTAATTACCAGTTTTTCTTTGGTACTATTGTCTGAATAGAAATACTATATAACAAGAATGTTTATTTTTTCAGTGACTTTGCACTAAGTTTATTTTGGCTTCAAAAAAATTGATTTCTCAATTGTTTTATTCTTTTTTTATTTTCTAGGAAACTCCACTTACTTGGATGACCATGGACCACCTCCTAGTAAGGTAAGATTACCCTTTTCCTTTTATCTGTTCTTACAGCTTCCAGTAGCTCCTGGGCATCCAACAACCCCAGCCAGCTCTCTCTTGGCCTTAAATCATTCACAAGAAATAGTAGATGACAGATGTCAAATTAATCTTCGACTTCTAATGAGGAGGAAGGGAAGAACATGACGATAGCCCAGATGACAAGGGAGGAAGAGCCATTACTAAATTAGTGGCTGTAGCTGCCCTGGCATCAGAGCCTTAGACTGACTGCAGACCTTTGGCAGCTTCTCCTGTTTACACTCACCTTGGCATTGATGCTGGCCCACGATGTAATGGCCACACCCACCCTCCCCATGCCTGCAGGCCTTGGGGCTAGACTCATATCCAGTCCATTCTCCCTGGCCTGCCTGAGTTGGGATGCTCCACCTGAGACCCAGCCAGGACCCTGTCAAGGCTGCCATGGCCTGGCCTACGTGCTCACCTTTGTTCTTACTGTAAGCGTTAAGTTTTTCCTGACTTTTAAGGGACAGAACAGTCCATGAGTATGGTTTCCCCACCACTCTCTACTTTCTTGAGCTCAATGAAAACAAAATGCCAATCTACTGAAAAACTGAGAAAAATGGAATGAAATGATAATAAGAAATAAAATGATAGTAAGAAAACACATGCAATGCCAGCAACTATTGTTTATTCTAAACTTATGTCCCTTATACTTTTTGACAGCAATTTTTTTTTCCTCATAAGAAATGATGGGGATGGTTGATCGATATTTGGGAGGGGTTATGCTTAGTAGCAAAACAGAAAGTTGGCAACCCTGTATCTCTCACTTTTACTTTAAGAATTTTCTTTCTGGCCTGTGAAATCCTAAAGTATAGATACGAGGGCTCTAGCTCTCCCAATAGTTCGTGGTTTTCTTAGTTTTTGACCATTTAAAGTGATGCTTGCAAAGTGTAGTTGTAAGTACATAGTGAGAAGATAATCAACTGCCAACCTCAGAGGTTTTGGGGAAGTTTGCCCCAAAGTCAGTTGAGACCACCACCACATTTACAAGCATGAGCTTTAGAAAAGGTTTCTGGATTCCACATGGGTTCTGCCACTTTCCAGCTGTGGGACATTGGATGAATTATTTAATATTTTGAGCCTCACTTTCTCATGTATGAGGTAGAACTAAAAATACTATACACAATAAAGAACTAAAATTAGACCAACCATTTGATATAAGAATCCCACTCCTGGGTTTCTACCCAAAGGAAAAGAAGTCATTTTCTCAAAAAGACACCTGCACTCGAATGTTTACTGCTGCACAATTCACAACTGCAAAGATGTGAATCAACTCAAATGTCCATCAGTTCATGAGTGGATTAAGAAAATGTGGTGTATGTATACCATGGAGTACTACTGAGCCATAAAAGGGATGGATGATGTCTTTTGCAGCTATTTGGAAGGAATTGGAGACCATTATCCTAAGTGAAATATCTCAAAAATGGATAAACAGACACCATATGTCCTTTTCAATGAATTGGAACTAACTGATGAGCATACATGTGCACAGAGGGAAGTAAAACTCATTGGAAATCAAGCAGGGGGAGGGAGGAAAGGAGAGGAGGGGCAAAAACCTACCTAACAGGTACAATGAACACTATTTGGGTGATGGGCACACTTACAGCCGTGCCTCAAGCATTACAAAAGTGATCCACGTAACAAAAACATTCATACCCCTTAATTTTTTTTTTTTTGAGACAGAGTCTTACTCTGTCACCTGGGCTAGAGTGCAGTGGCGTCAGCCTAGCTCACTGCAACCTCCAACTCCAGGACTCAAGTAATCCTCCTGCCTCAGCCTCCCAAGTAGCTGGGACTACAGGTGCGTGCCACCATGCCCAGCTAATTTTTTCTATTTTTAGTAGAAATGGGGTCTCACTTTTGCTCAGGTTGGTCTCAAACTCCTGAGCTCAAGTGATCCTCCTGCCTCAGTCTCCCAGAGTGCTAGGATTACAGGCGTGACACTGTGCCCAGCTTAATATTTTGAAATAATAATAAAAAAAAATACTACCCACAGCACAGGATGCTAAAAGGATTGAATGAGCTGATGTATGACAAGCACTTGGCACTGATGCGCAATAAATATTAAATCAACGGTGGCTGGTGTTGCCTAGACTGGGGTAACATTAAGGTTATTGATGAGTGACACAGTAGCATTTGTCACAGTCATCGGATGGCTCGACCACTCCATCACTGCCTGTTTATTGAGTGCCTGGGATGCTGCAGGCACTCGAAATACAAAAATGAAACAAAACAACAACAAAAACAGCCTCTATCCTGGAGGAACAAAAGCAGATAGAGGATTTTGTGCCCTCTGAGGATAAAGACCGTGTCAGACTCGTCTCAGTACCCTCCCATTCTTGTGTTAGCCTCAGGGCACGGGGCACATCATGACAATCCGTTAAGTGTAGCTGAATTAGACCACAGAATCCAGAGCTGGAATCCAAATGAGGTCTCCTGGCTTCCGTCCCAGGTCCTTTCCACTAGGCCAGTATGCTCAAACTTTAGCTTGCATCCGAATTAGCTGGGGGCTTCTTAAAACGCAGATTGCTGGGTCTGGTCCAGAGCCTCTGATTCGGTAGGTTCGGGGTGGGCCTGGGGATCTGCATTTCTGACAAGCTCCCAAGTGATGCTGCTGCCATCGTCTGCAGTCCACATTTGAGAACCTCTATTCTGGAGGCTGTGAAAGTACAGAGAACCATTTCCCTGGATATTTCCTGTGTTGTTTTCACTATTTAATAGCCTAGAGAGAGTGATGTGGCTTATTATATAAAGTTTATTTATTAGTGTAATGGTGACTCACCATTGTAAGTTTTCTTGTAGTGAAAACGTGTTTCCTTTGGTCAGTAACCTGCCTAGGAGGGGAAATGGGGGGGGGGGAGGAGGAATGGTCCAGATGGTCTGTTGGGTTTCCTCGCCAGGGACTGCTCTTGCCTCCCAAGTGGGGCCCAGTGAAGCCCTCCCCACCCCCGCCCTGAAGTCATGGTAGGGGGTTAGGTGGCTCTGTCTGTGGGACACATCGGCTGTTCTTGTCCGTGGCTTTGTGGGATATCACTTCAGGCGCCAGGTATGATAAGTAGAGTTTTACCCGGTTGGAAGATCCAGGCCTACTTTATATGAACTGACCTCTTTGAACTTTTTCCTTGATGGCCAGCCTGGGCCACCCTTTTAGTCTACCCACTGGGATTGCTGTGACAAAGCTGCTAGTATCGTTGGTGCCTGGATTCGCTGTTTCCTGGGCTCACTCCCGTTTCTTCAATAGGGTGCTCCCTGGCTGTACCTCTTCTCCCTGCCCCTGCACTCTGGCCTTCAATCTCCCTCCTCCTCCCACCCCAAACTAAAGCTCCCTGTGCTACACAGAAGTGATCAAGTTATAGCAGATTATTTTAGACGACTTTCAGAGGAAATCCAGTTTTATAAACTCTTTCCCAAGTTTGAAAATTGTGAACATAATCTCTTTAAATCAGCAGAAGTTTATATAACACAGATTCTTTTGCTATAACTGTATTTTCATTATCTAGGACTGGAGTAGCAAAAACACTCTTGATTTTCTGAGTGGTAGCCATAATGGTAATAAGAAGCATGTAAAAATTGGGTAAAAATAATATTGGTTCGTTAACATCTTTTCATCCATGCGTATTGCTTCTGGCAGGATGGAAATGAATCCCAGAAATTAATGAGGTCAGACTTCCGGGAGAATGTCCCCTGAGTGTCCCCTGAGATGGGGCTTCCGTTATTTAGGTCCACAGACCACTGGCTTATCCAGGGACATGGTGGCCTCCCAAGGATAAGGACTCACACATGTCTGGCCTCCGGAGTGAACCCCCAGCCTGGCAGGGGAAAGCAAGAATCAAGTCCAGACCCATATTTTTCATATTTGCTTCACACTCAGAAATAACTTTCTGATGCCAAGACCGAAAGAGTGGTGATCTAGAGAAAATAAGATTGTTTCAACCCTGAAAATACACTGAGTTTACAGGCGAGTCCTCATTTTATTAAAAGTTCAATTTCACAAGTTTCACATTCCACAAGTAATAGCCGTTTAGGGGATGGGGTCTGCCACACGGCACATCCTGGGCCCGGGTCTTCATTCTTTCCAGCATTTTCATTAGCAAAAGGCAAATGCCTCTGATTTTTCACTTGAACCTCACAGCTCAGCTCAGTTCTTAAGCTAAGCCATTATTTAAAGGTAGATGTTAATATTTTCTTTGCATTGCCACTTTTTACTATTACTTTGTGTGTTCACAGAATGCAGTGGCTGAAGGTTAGAGATCTCCTAAGAATGACCATATAGATCTCTAGCTAATGAACAGAGAGATACTCTTGAATACAAAAGCAACAACAAAAATTATGCTAGCTCTTTCTGTAAAATTGTATGTGTATGTATGTATATATATCTACAGAGAAAAGCCTGGATAGATAACAGTGTTTTCTCTGGGTGGTGAGATTTCAGGATATTTTTTACCCTTTTCCTTATACTTTTCTGTATAATTAAAGTTCATTGAGTAGTGCATGCTCAGGCTGGAAATTAGAAAAAAGTGTCCTGGTGTAAGAGAAGACTGTGCTCTGGCTTCGCAGCCTCATCTGCGGTGTCCACAGGCCTCCCAGCCAGCCCGGCCTCTGAGAGGCGGGTCTTCCCCACATGGCTCCACTTCACCTGGAACGTGGGTTCCTGGTGCAAACGGGAGGCATCAGCGGTGGGAAGTTCTGTTGGTAAAAAATAGGATGTGGCGATCATTTCACATATAGTAGATTTCCAAACCCAACAGATAATAAGAGCTGATCTAAGCACCTCAAGGCTAATAAAATCGTTATCTACAGCTGATATTGTATCTTTCTTTTCCTATGTGCCAAGCCCTGTGCTAAGCACTTAGCATGTGAAATTTAATCTCTATAAAACTCCGTAAAACAGGAAGTAATTTTTATTCTTTATTTTTATTTTTATCTTTATTTTTATTCTTTATTTTACAGATGAGGGA